GTCTTGGGATCGAACCCACGACCTCCTGTAGACCGGGCGAGGTAGTCAACATCTCCCAGGGTCTTGGGATCGAAACCACGACCTCCTGTAGACCAGGCAAGGTAGTCAACATCTCTCAGGGTAATCGAACCCACGATCTCCTGTAGACCGGGCGAGGTAGTCAACATCTCCGAGGGTAATGGAACTCTCGACCTCCTGTAGACCGGCGAGGTAGTCAACATCTCTCAGACTTTTGGATTCGAACCCACGACCTCCTGTAGACCAGACGAGGTAGTCAACATCTCCCAGGGTCTTGGGATCGAACCCACGACTTCCTGTAGACCAGGCGAGGTAGTCAACATCTCCCAGGGTCTTGGGATCGAACCCACGACCTCCTATAGACCAGGCGAGGTAGTCAACATCTGTCAGGGTCTTGGGGTCGAACCCACGACCTCCTGTAGACCAGGTGAGGTAGTCAACATCTCTCAGGGTAATCGAACCCACGACCTCCTGTAGACCAGGCGAGGTAGTCAACATCTCTCAGGGTAATCGAACCCACGACCTCCTGTAGACCAGGTGAGGTAGTCAACATCTCTCAAGGTCGTGATCGAACCCACGTCCTCCTGTAGACCAAGCGAGGTAGTCAACATCTCCCAGGGTCTTGGGTTCGAACCCACGATCCTCCGGTATACCAGGCGAGGTAGTCAACATCTCCCAGGGTCTTGGGATCGAACCCACGACCTCCTGTCGACCAGGCGAGGTAGTCAACATCTCTCAGGGTCTTGGGGTCGAACCCACGACCTCCTGTAGACCAGGCGAGTTAGTCAACATCTCACAGGGTCTTGGGATCGATATTTGGAGTTTCATACTTTACTTGCAATTCAGCAATCTTTTTGAAAATAGCCTGATCAACCGGACCGTGCGTCAATTGCGTTTTGACCGGCCGTCTGTGATGCTTTACGTGGCTTGCAAAAATGTTGCTGAACCCTGTTTGTCCGGAATGCTTCTGTCTCTTTGTGTGTCCCATGATGTAGCTGTGTCATTTCCTCCCCTTACTTGGGTGTCTATAAATATACACCTGGAGTTATGGGTCTCACCTCTCTCTCTCTCTCTCGTGAATGGAGCTCTTCTGCACCTGATGATGGCTGCTTGTGTTGCAACCGAAACGCCGCACGCTATAATGCTGTTACTTTATTATTTCTTATTTTTATATTCGTGACTTTGCCGGGAAAAAAAAACCAACGAGTGATAAGGAATGACGAAATAAACAACAACAACAACAATAATGAACAACATCAAACAACAACAACAATAAGGAATTGTTAATAAGTGAGCTTCCTAACATCGGCGATAATAAACATCGACACATCAGCTGACGTCGTGACGTCACAAGGCGGATAGGCTGATGACGTCACAAAGCGATGACGGGCCGCATGTAACGTGCGGTGCTGCCATCTATGGGACAGAGTGAGTGGGTGAGTGAGTGGGTGAGTGAGTGAGTAGGTGAGCGGGTGAGTGAGTGGGTGGGTGAGTGAGTGGGTGAGTGGGTGAGTGGGTGAGTGAGTGGGTGAGTGGGTGAGTAGGTGGGTGGGTGAGTGAGTGGGTGGGTGGGTGGGTGAGTGGGTGGGTGGGTGAGTGGGTGAGTGGGTGAGTGAGTGGGTGAGTGAGTGGGTGGGTGGGTGGGTGAGTGGGTGAGTGGGTGAGTGAGTGGGTGGGTGGGTGAGTGGGTGGGTGGGTGGGTGAGTGGGTGAGTGGGTGAGTGGGTGGGTGGGTGGGTGAGTGAGTGGGTGAGTGAGTGGGTGGGTGGGTGGGTGAGTGAGTGGGTGAGTGGGTGGGTGAGTGAGTGGGTGAGTGGGTGAGTGAGTGGGTGAGTGGGTGAGTGGGTGGGTGAGTGAGTGGGTGAGTGAGTGGGTGGGTGGGTGAGTGAGTGGGTGAGTGGGTGAGTGGGTGAGTGAGTGGGTGAGTGGGTGAGTGGGTGGGTGAGTGGGTGGGTGGGTGGGTGAGTGAGTGAGTGTGTGAGTGGGTGGGTGGGTGAGTGAGTGAGTGGGTTGGTGGGTGAGTGAGTGAGTGGGTGGGTGGGTGGGTGAGTGAGTGGATGAGTGGGTGAGTGGGTGGGTGGGTGGGTGAGTGAGTGAGTGGGTGAGTGAGTGGGTGAGTGGGTGAGTGAGTGGGTGAGTGAGTGGGTGGGTGGGTGGGTGAGTGGGTGGGTGGGTAGGTGAGTGAGTGTGTGAGTGGGTGGGTGGGTGGGTGAGTGAGTGAGTGAGTGGGTGAGTGGGTGGGTGGGTGGGTGAGTGAGTGGGTGAGTGGGTGAGTGGGTGGGTGAGTGGGTGGGTGAGTGGGTGGGTGAGTGGGTGAGTGAGTGGGTGGGTGGGTGAGTGGGTGGGTGGGTGAGTGGGTGGGTGGGTGAGTGGGTGAGTGAATGGGTGGGTGGGTGGGTGAGTGAGTGGGTGAGTGGGTGAGTGGGTGGGTGAGTGGGTGGGTGAGTGGGTAAGTGGGTGAGTGGGTGGGTGGGTGGGTGAGTGGGTGGGTGAGTGGGTGAGTGAGTGGGTGGGTGGTACCAGCGGTGTCAAGATCGGCCTCTGTGGAGGAGGCTCGTGAAGGATGCTACTGGGCAGTTGGAGGCAGTCGCCCTCCAACAACAACGGAGGGCGGAGGAGCGACGCTCACAACAGCGAGCGGAGCGCCGGGTGGCTAAAGCACAGCAGGTTGGCACAGTAGGGGGCACAGGTGGTGCATCAGCCAGTCATCTCAGTCAGTCGACCCGTGGCACCTGGGTCTGCCCCGTGACCTCCTGCCAGCGGGCGTTCGACACTTCACGTGGCCTCAGGGTGCACATAGCCTGGCACAAGCGTCGTGGTGACGTCACCGCCACTTAGTGGTGAATGGCGGTTGTTGTTGGGTGGGTGAGTGGGTGGGTGAGTGGGTGGGTGAGTGGTTGAGTGGGTGAGTGGCTGAAGGGGTGAGTGAGTAGGTGGATGGGTGAGTGAGTAGATGGGTGGGTGAGTGGGTGAGTGAGTGGGTGAGTGAGTGGGTGGGTGGGTGGGTGAGTGGGTGGGTGAGTTGGTGGGTGAGTGGGTGGCGGGGTGAGTGGGTGAGTGAGTGAGTGGGTGAGTGAGTGAGTGGGTGGGTGGGTGAGTGGGTGACTGAAGGGGTGAGTGAGTAGGTGGATGGGTGAGTGAGTAGATGGGTGGGTGAGTGGGTGAGTGGGTGAGTGAGTGGGTGAGTGGGTGGGTGGGTGAATGAGTGAGTGGGTGGGTCGGTGAGTGAGTGGGTGGGTGGGTGGGTGAGTGAGTGGCTGAAGGGGTGAGTGAGTAGGTGGGTTGGTGAGTGGGTGAGTGAGTGGGTGAGTGAGTGAGTAGATGGGTGGGTGAGTGGGTGAGTGAGTGGGTGAGTGGGTGATTGGGTGAGTGAGTGAGTGAGTGGGTGGGTGAGTGAGTGGGTGAGTGAGTGAGTGAGTAGGTGGGTGGGTGAGTGAGTAGATGGGTGGGTGAGTGGGTGAGTGAGTGGGTGGGTGAGTAGGTGGATGGGTGAGTGAGTAGATGGGTGGGTGAGTGAGTGAGTGGCTGAAGGGGTGAGTGAGTAGGTGGGTGGGTGAGTGAGTAAATGGGTGGGTGGATGAGTGAGTGGGTGAGTGGGTGAGTGGGTGAGTGGGTGAGTGAGTGGGTGAGTGGGTGGGTGGGTGAGTGAGTGGATGAGTGAGTGGGTGGGTGGGTGGGTGAGTGAGTGAGTGAGTGGGTGAGTGGGTGGGTGGGTGGGTGAGTGGGTGAGTGGGTGAGTGGGTGAGTGAGTGGGTGACTGGGTGAGTGAGTGGGTGAGTGGGTGAGTGGGTGAGTGGGTGAGTGGTTGGGTGAGTGGGTGAGTGGGTGAGTGAGTAGGTTGATGAGTGAGTGAGTGGGTGAGTGAGTAGGTTGATGAGTGAGTGAGTAGGTGAGTCGGTGAGTGGGTGAGTGGGTGGGTGAGTGAGTGGGTGAGTGAGTGAGTGAGTGGGTGAGTGAGTGAGTGGGTGAGTGAGTAGGTTGATGAGTGAGTGAGTAGGTGAGTCGGTGAGTGGGTGAGTGGGTGGGTGAGTGGGTGAGTGAGTGGGTGAGTGAGTGGGTGAGTGAGTGGGTGAGTGGGTGAGTGGATGGGTGGGTGGGTGAGTGAGTGAGTGGCTGAAGGGGTGAGTGAGTAGGTGGATGGGTGAGTGAGTAGATGGGTGGGTGAGTGGGTGAGTGAGTGGGTGAGTGAGTGGGTGGGTGGGTGAGTGGGTAGGTGAGTTGGTGGGTGAGTGGGTGGCGGGGTGAGTGGGTGAGTGAGTGAGTGGGTGGGTGAGTGAGTGAGTTGGTGAGTGGATGAGTGAGTGACTGATGGGGTGAGTGAGTAGGTGGATGCGTGAGTGAGTAGATGGGTGGGTGAGTGGGTGAGTGGGTGAGTGGGTGAGTGAGTGGGTGAGTGGGTGGGTGGGTGAGTGAGTGGGTGGGTGGGTGAGTGAGTGAGTGGCTGAAGGGGTGAGTGAGTGGGTGGGTGGGTGAGTGAGTGGGTGGGTGGGTGGGTGAGTGAGTGGGTGGGTGGGTGGGTGAGTGAGTGGGTGGGTGGGTGAGTGAGTGGCTGAAGGGGTGAGTGAGTAGGTGGGTGGGTGAGTGAGTAGATGGGTGGGTGAGTGGGTGAGTGAGTGAGTGGGTGAGTGAGTGAGTAGATGGGTGGGTGGGTGGATTAGTGAGTGGGTGAGTGAGTGGGTTGATGAGTGAGTGGGTGAGTGAGTGGGTGAGTGAGTGAGTGGGTGAGTGAGTGAGTGGGTGAGTTGTTGAATGAATTTGCCTACCGATCATCCGGAAGATTTCTACCAATGTTCCGGAAGATGTCTACCAATCTTCCGGAAGATGTCTACCAATCTTCCGGAAGACGTCTACTGACCTTCCGGAAGATGTCCGCCGTCCTACCGGAAGATGTCTACCAATCTTCCGGAAGACGTCTACCGACCATCCGGAAGATATCCGCCGTCCTATCGGAAGATGCCTACCAATCTTCCGGAAGACGTCTTCCGACGTCTGCCGATCTACCGGAAGACGCCACCAAAACAACTTCACGGCGTTTTCCTCATCGCCGCAGCAGGTGGGCTTTGTGTCGGTTTCACGCTTCCCACTTTGAAGCTTCTCAGACGAAAACTACGCAGCGCTGACGTTACAAAGGTATAAAGCAGACCGCAGGAAGCAATTTGTGTGTTTGTGTCACCGCTATACCAGCCGTGCCTGGCGCAGCGCTCTCAGTAAAGCGTTTTAATACGTGGTGGGGGGGGAGAGGCCTAGCCGACCCGCGGAGCCTACGGTGTCGCCTGACGCGCGCTGCCGGCCGTGGCGAGGGGAAACCCCGCGGTGGAGTTCACGAGGGGACAGGCCCTGATCGACGGACGGACTTGGCCTCCGCCATGGGAACGTGGAATGTCCAGCAGTGTCTTGGGCGTGCCACAGTGCCGGTAGCCTTCGTAGGAAGCTGCTGCTCGCCACTAGCAGCACTTGCCCCTGCAGCCCCTGCTAGAGGCTACCTGGGGGAGCTTTGTGTGTACATCATAGGTGGTGCTACTCGCTACTGACAGCACTTGCCCCTACAGCCCTGCTAGAGGCTACCTGGGGGAGCTTTGTCTGTGTACATCATAGGTGGTGCTACTCGCCACTAACAGCACTTGCCCCTACAGCCCTGCTAGAGGCTACCTGGGGGAGCTTTGTCTGTGTGTGCATCATAGGTGGTGCTACTCGCCACTAGCAGCACTTGCCCCTACAGCCCTGCTACAGGCTACCTGGGGGAGCTTTGTCTTTGTGAGGGAGCGGTGGTGCAGCGGTTAGCGCTACGCTGCACTTCGAACCGGGCGATAGCCCGAGTTGGATTCCCGCTCACGGCCACCACCACCAGTGACAGCGATTATTATCTGAACCGGTTCTGGGCCTCCCCTAGGTCGACTCAGCCACCACCGTCACCACCACCCTCACCACCACCCTCACCACCGTCACCACCACCCTCACCACCCTCACCACCACCCTCACCACCGTCACCACCACCCTCACCACAATAACCACCGCTACCACCTGAATATCCCAACTTGAACGTCTGTGTCTCTCCCCTAGGTCTACTCAGCCTCCGCCACCACCACCCTCACCACCACCTGAATATCCCAACTTGAACGTCTGTGTCTCTCCCCCCTAGGTCTGGCTACTCAGCCACCACCACCACCACCTCCCTCAACACCAGCACCCTCACCACCACAATAACCACCACCACCGCCCTCACCACCACAATAACCACCACCACCACCCTTACCACCACAATAACCACCACCACCACCACCCTCACCACCACAATAACCACCACCACCCTCACCACCACAATAACCACCACCACCGCCCTCACCACCAGCTCCCTCACCACCACCCTCACCACCACAATAACCACCACCACCCTCACCACCACAATAACCACCACCACCCTCACCACCACAATAACCACCACCACCACCCTTACCACCACAATAACCACCACCACCCTCACCACCACAATAACCACCACCACCCTCACCACCACAATAACCACCACCACCCTCACCACCACAATAACCACCACCACCTCCCTCAACACCAGCACCCTCACCACCACCCTCACCACCACAATAACCACCACCACCGCCCTCAACACCACCACCCTCACCACCACCCTCACCACCACCCTCACCACCACAATAACCACCACCGTCACCACCACCCTCACCACCACCACCCTCACCACCACCACCCTCACCACCACCCTCACCACCACCCTCACCACCGTCACCACCACCCTCACCACCACCACCCTCACCACCACCCTCACCACCACCCTCACCACCACCCTCACCACCACCCTCACCACCACTGAACATCCCAACTTGACCGTCTGCGTCTCTCCCCCTAGGATCTACTCAGCCTCCACCACCACCACCAACCAACCATGAGCGCCCAACAACAACAACAACCACCACCTCAACCGCCACCCTCCCAACAACAACAACAACACCAACAACACCAACAACACCGCCACCACCACCGCCGCCGCGAGGGCCCGGCGTTCCTGAGCGACGCGGCGGTCCGGAGCAACGCGGCCCTGCTCGACTACTGCCGCACGGCCGGGGCCGCCCTCGCGGGCTCGTCGGCCGGGGTGCTGGGCCTGACGGGGGTGCGAGGCCTCGCCTTCTACGCGCTCGCCGCCGGCGGCCTGGCCCTCGCCCTCGTCGCCAAGGCCGGCAGCGACTGGCGGAGGGCGGCCCGCTCCCGGCGGGCCATCGCCACGGGAGGATTCGTCTCGGGCCTGTTCACCTACGTGCTGTTCTGGACCTTCCTCTACGGAATGGTGCACGTGTACTGAGCGTGGGGTGGGCGTGGCGTGGCGTGGGGTTGGGCGTTGGGGGGGGGGTGGGGGAGGCGTGTGTCACGTGTGTGTGTGTCACGTGTGACGCGTGTGTCACGTGTGACACGTGTGTCACGTGTGTGTGTCACGTCTCGGGCCTGTTCACCTACGTGCTGTTCTGGACCTTCCTCTACGGAATGGTGCACGTGTACTGAGCGTGGGGTGGGCGTGGCGTGGCGTGGGGTTGGGCGTTGGGGGTGGGGTGGGGGAGGCGTGTGTCACGTGTGTGTGTGTCGCGTGCGTGTGTCACGTGTGTGTGTCACGTGTGTGTGTCACGTCTCGGGCCTGTTCACCTACGTGCTGTTCTGGACCTTCCTCTACGGAATGGTGCACGTGTACTGAGCGTGGGGTTGGGCGTGGCGTGGGGTTGGGGGTTGGGGGTGGGGTTGGGGTGGGGTTGGGGTGTGTCACGTGTGTGTGTGTCACGTGTGTGTGACGCGTGTGATACGTGTGTGTGTCACGTGTGTGTCACGTGTGACACGTGTGTGTCACGTGTGTGTGTCACGTCTCGGGCCTGTTCACCTACGTGCTGTTCTGGACCTTCCTCTACGGAATGGTGCACGTGTACTGAGCGTGGGGTGGGGTTGGGGGTTGGGGGTGGGGTTGGGGGTGGGGTTGGGGGTGGGGTGGGGTGGGGGAGGCGTGTGTCACGTGTGTGTGTCACGTGTGTGTGACGCGTGTGTGTGTCGCGTGCGTGTGTCACGTGTGTGTGTCACGTGTGTGTGTCACGTCTCGGGCCTGTTCACCTACGTGCTGTTCTGGACCTTCCTCTACGGAATGGTGCACGTGTACTGAGCGTGGGGTTGGGCGTGGCGTGGGGTTGGGGGTTGGGGGTGGGGTTGGGGTGGGGTTGGGGTGTGTCACGTGTGTGTGTGTCACGTGTGTGTGACGCGTGTGATACGTGTGTGTGTCACGTGTGTGTCACGTGTGACACGTGTGTGTCACGTGTGTGTGTCACGTCTCGGGCCTGTTCACCTACGTGCTGTTCTGGACCTTCCTCTACGGAATGGTGCACGTGTACTGAGCGTGGGGTGGGGTTGGGGTGGGGTGGGGGGTGGGGTGGGGGAGGCGTGTGTCACGTGTGTGTGTGTCACGTGTGTGTGTGTCACGTGTGACGCGTGTGATACGTGTGTGTGTCACGTGTGTGTGTCACGTGTGTGTGACGCGTGTGATACGTGTGTGTGTCACGTGTGTGTGTCACGTGTGACACGTGTGTGTGTCACGTCTCGGGCCTGTTCACCTACGTGCTGTTCTGGACCTTCCTCTACGGAATGGTGCACGTGTACTGAGCGTGGGGTGGGCGTGGCGTGGGGTTGGGGGTTGGGGGTGGGGTTGGGGTGGGGTTGGGGTGGGGGAGGCGTGTGTCACGTGTGTGTGTGTCACGTGTGTGTGTGTCACGTGTGACGAGTGTGATACGTGTGTGTGTCACGTGTGTGTGTCACGTGTGACACGTGTGTCACGTGTGTGTGTCACGTCTCGGGCCTGTTCACCTACGTGCTGTTCTGGACCTTCCTCTACGGAATGGTGCACGTGTACTGAGCGTGGGGTGGGGTTGGGGGTTGGGGGTGGGGTTGGGGGTGGGGTGGGGTGGGGGAGGCGTGTGTCACGTGTGTGTGTGTCACGTGTGACGAGTGTGATACGTGTGTGTGTCACGTGTGACGAGTGTGATACGTGTGTGTGTCACGTGTGTGTCACGTGTGACACGTGTCGTGTGTGTCACGCGTGTGTGACGCGTGTGTCACGTGTGTGTGTCACGTGTGTGTGTCACGTGTGTGTGTCACGTGTGTGTGTCACGTGTGTGTGTCACGTGTGTGTCACGTGTGTGTGTCACACGTGTGTCACGTGCGTACCAGGCTAATGCACAGCAAGTGGGCACATGGCCTGGCACGAGCGTCGTGGTGACGTCACCGCCACTTGGTGGCGAATGGCGGTTGTTGTTGTTGGGTATACCTGTGTGTGTGTTGGTGTGTGTGTGTACACTGTGTATGTGTGTACCTCTGTGTGTGTACACTGTGTGTGTAGGTGTGTGTGTATAACTGGTTGTTGTTGTTGACTGGCTGTGTCTCTGTGTGTGTTTGTGTACCTGTGTGTGTGTGTGTACCTGTGTGTGTGTGTGTGTGTAGGTGTGTGTGTGTGTGTACCTGTGTGTGTAGGTGTGTGTGTGTGTACCTGTGTGTGTACCTGTCTGTGTGTGTATACCTGTGTGTGTGTAGGTCTGTGTGTATGAGTGTACTGGTCTCTGTCGAGGAGGAGGAGGCTCTTGAAGGACGCTGCTGCTGCGGCTGCTACTGGGCTAGTGCCAGGCTAGGTGTACCGTGAGGCTACTGGGCAGTTGGAGGCAGTCGCAGCAACAGCGGAGGATGGAGGAGCGATGGCTCACAGCATCGAGCGGAGCGCCGGGTGGATAGAACACAGTTGGCACAGTAGGGGGCACAGGTGGTGCACCTGCTGGGTCTGTCACGTGACCTCCTGCACCTAGCCTGGCACAGCAGCAGCAGTCAGCCCATGGCACCTGCTGGGTCTGTCACGTGACCTCCTCCTCCTGCACCTAGCCTGGCACAGCAGCAGCAGTCGACCCGTGGCACCTGCTGGGTCTGTCACGTGACATCCTCCTCCTGCACCTAGCCTGGTACAGCAGCAGCAGTCGACCCGTGGCACCTGCTGGGTCTGTCACGTGACATCTTCCTCCTGCACCTAGCCTGGTACAGCAGCAGCAGTCAACCCATGGCACCTGCTGGGTCTGTCACGTGACATCCTCCTCCTGCACCTAGCCTGGCACAGCAGCAGCAGTCAGCCCATGGCACCTGCTGGGTCTGTCACGTGACTTCCTCCTCCTGCACCTAGCCTGGCACAGCAGCAGCAGTCAGCCCATGGCACCTGCTGGGTCTGTCACGTGACTTCCTCCTCCTGCACCTAGCCTGGCACAGCAGCAGCAGTCAGCCCATGGCACCTGCTGGGTCTGTCACGTGACCTCCTCCTCCTGCACCTAGCCTGGCACAGCAGCAGCAGTCAGCCCATGGCACCTGCTGGGTCTGTCACGTGACTTCCTCCTCCTGCACCTAGCCTGGCACAGCAGCAGCAGTCAACCCATGGCACCTGCTGGGTCTGTCCCATGACCTCCTGCCAGCGGGCGTTCGACACTTTACGTGGTGGCCTCAAGGTGCACCTAGCCTGGCACAAGCGCCGTGGTGACGTCACGGCCACTTAGTGGCGAATTGCAGTTGTTGTATGTGTGTGTGTGTACTTGTGTGTGTGTACTTGTGTGTGTCTACCTGTGTGTGTGTACCTGTGTGCTGTGTGTGTACCTGTGTCTGAGTGTCCCTGTGTGTGTACCTGTGTGTACCTGTGTGCTGTGTGTGTACCTGTGTGTGTACCTGTGTGTGTGTGTACCTGTGTGTGTGTACCTGTGTGTGTGTACCTGTGTGCTGTGTGTGTACCTGTGTGTACACCTGTGTGTGTACACCTGTGTGTGTGTACCTGTGTGTGTACCTGTGTGCTGTGTGTGTACCTGTGTGCTGTGTGTGTATCTATATGTGTGTGTACCTGTGTGTGGACCTGTGTGTGTGTACCTGTGTATGTACCTGTGTGTACCTGTGTATACCTGTGTATGTACCTGTGTGCTGTGTGTGGTGCTGTGTGTGTACCTGTGTGTACCTGTGTATGTACCTGTGTGCTGTGTGTGGACTTGTGTGTGCTGTGTGTACCTGTGTGTGTGTCTGTACCTGTGTGTGTGTACCTGTGTGTGTGTACCTGTGTGTGTGTACCTGTGTGCTGTGTGTGTACCTGTGTGTACACCTGTGTGTGTACACCTGTGTGTGTGTACCTGTGTGTGTACCCTGTGTGCTGTGTGTGTACCTGTGTGCTGTGTGTGTATCTATATGTGTGTGTACCTGTGTGTGGACCTGTGTGTGTGTACCTGTGTATGTACCTGTGTGTACCTGTGTATACCTGTGTATGTACCTGTGTGCTGTGTGTGGTGCTGTGTGTGTACCTGTGTGTACCTGTGTATGTACCTGTGTGCTGTGTGTGGACTTGTGTGTGCTGTGTGTACCTGTGTGTGTGTCTGTACCTGTGTGTGTGTACACTGTGTGTGTGTGTGTGTACACTGTGTTTGTGTGTACCTGTGTGTGTGTACACTGTGTATGTGTGTGTGTACCTGTGTGTGTGTACACTGTGATGCTTCTGCTGAAGACGATTAAACTCTAAAGCGATTCAAACGAACACGCGAGTGAGGCCTCCGTGCGTGTACGCGTGTGTGCGTGTACGCGTGTGTGCGTGTACGCGTGTGTGCGTGTACGCGCGTGTGCGTGTACGCGCGTGTGTGTGTCTACAAGCGCGTGTGTGTGTGTATGCATGTGCGTGTACGTGTGTATGCGTGTACGTGTGTGTGTACACGCACGTGTGTACACCTGTGTGTGTGTACGTGCGTGTGTATGTATGTACGGTGGGGAGCGGTGGTGCAGCGGTTAGCGCTACGCTGCACTACGAACCCGGCGATCCGAGTTCGATTCCCGCTCACGGCCAGCACCACCGGTGACGATTATCTGAACCGGTCCCGGGCCTCCCCTAGGTCTACTCAGCCTCAAATTAGTACCTGGTGCGGTGCGTAGTGAACATAGCCACTGGGGAGACAAAGGCGGCCGGGTGTGGTGCTGGCCACCCACCCCCTCGTGTGCCACTTGTAACCGGTAGTCCTTCACAGGCGCTGCTACTCGCTAACAGCACTTGCCCCCACAGTCTGTTACAGGCTACACGGGGGATCTTTGTCTTTGTGTGTATGAAGCTTCAGGTCTTCTCGGCCACGGTGAATGCCCTCCCTTCTCTACGCTTGTGAAACGTGGACCCCCCCCCCCCCCTAATGGAACATCTTCGCCGGTTAGAAACATTCAGGCATAGGCCTGCCTACGATCCATCCTGGGTTTAGCCTGTGGACTGGATTTTGTGAGGAGCTCACAAATCCTCGAAAGATCTGGGCAAAGGCCGAGTTGGCTGGGCCATGTCGCCCGCATGCCCAGCCACTGCACGAGTGAGTGGTTGAGTGAGCGAGTGGGTCGGTGAGTGAATGGGTGAGCGAGCGAGTGGGTGAGTGAGTCAGTGGGTGACATTCCCATCGGTGAGCTCCTCCGGCAGGCAAGGCCGCGTTGGCTGGGCCATGTCGCACGCATGCCCAGCCACTGCACGAGTGAGTGGTTGAGTGAGCGAGTGGGTCGGTGAGTGAATGGTTGAGCGAGCGAGTGGGTGAGTGAGTCAGTGGGTGACATTCCCATCGGTGAGCCCCATCCTGCAGGCAAGGCCGCGTTGGCTGGGCCATGTAGCCCGCATGCCCAGCCACCGCATGCCTAAGCAGCTTTTGTTCGGCCAGATAGAGGGGGCTAAACGGGCGCGGCACGGGCTGGAGAAGAGATGGAGCTGATGGGTGAGTGAGTGGGTGAGTCAATGGCACGGGCTGGAGAAGAGATGGAGCTGATGGGTGAATGAGTGGGTGAGTCAATGGCACGGGCTGAGGAAGAGATGGAGCTGATGGGGTGAGTGAGTGGGTGAGTCAATGGCACGGGCTGAGGAAGAGATGGAGCTGATGGGTGAGTGAGTGGGTGAGTCAATGGCACGGGCTGAGGAAGAGATGGAGCTGATGGGTGAGTGAGTGGGTGAGTCAATGGCACGGGCTGAGGAAGAGATGGAGCTGATGGGTGAGTGAGTGGGTGAGTCAATGGCACGGGCTGAGGAAGAGATGGAGCTGATGGGTGAGTGAGTGGGTGAGTCAATGGCACGGGCTGGAGAAGAGATGGAGCTGATGGGTGAGTGAGTGGGTGAGTCAATGGCACGGGCTGAGGAAGAGATGGAGCTGATGGGTGAGTGAGTGGGTGAGTCAATGGCACGGGCTGAGGAAGAGATGGAGCTGATGGGTGAGTGAGTGGGTGAGTCAATGGCACGGGCTGAGGAAGAGATGGAGCTGATGGGTGAGTGAGTGGGTGAGTCAATGGCACGGGCTGAGGAAGAGATGGAGCTGATGGGTGAGTGAGTGGGTGAGTCAATGGCACGGGCTGGAGAAGAGATGGAGCTGATGGGTGAGTGAGTGGGTGAGTCAATGGCACGGGCTGAGGAAGAGATGGAGCTGATGGGTGAGTGAGTGGGTGAGTCAATGGCACGGGCTGAGGAAGAGATGGAGCTGATGGGTGAGTGAGTGGGTGAGTCAATGGCACGGGCTGAGGAAGAGATGGAGCTGATGGGTGAGTGAGTGGGTGAGTCAATGGCACGGGCTGAGGAAAAGATGGAGCTGATGGGTGAGTGAGTGGGTGAGTCAATGGCACGGGCTGGAGAAGAGATGGAGCTGATGGGTGAGTGAGTGGGTGAGTCAATGGCACGGGCTGAGGAAGAGATGGAGCTGATGGGTGAGTGAGTGGGTGAGTCAATGGCACGGGCTGAGGAAGAGATGGAGCTGATGGGTGAGTGAGTGGGTGAGTCAATGGCACGGGCTGAGGAAGAGATGGAGCTGATGGGTGAGTGAGTGGGTGAGTCAATGGCACGGGCTGGAGAAGAGATGGAGCTGATGGGTGAGTGAGTGGGTGAGTCAATGGCACGGGCTGAGGAAGAGATGGAGCTGATGGGTGAGTGAGTGGGTGAGTCAATGGCACGGGCTGAGGAAGAGATGGAGCTGATGGGTGAGTGAGTGGGTGAGTCAATGGCACGGGCTGAGGAAGAGATGGAGCTGATGGGTGAGTGAGTGGGTGAGTCAATGGCACGGGCTGAGGAAGAGATGGAGCTGATGTGTGAGTGGGTGGGTGAGTCAATGGCACGGGCTGAGGAAGAGATGGAGCTGATGGGTGAGTGAGTGGGTGGGTGAGTCAAAGGCACGGGCTGAGGAAGAGATGGAGCTGATGGGTGAGTGAGTGGGTGAGTCAATGGCACGGGCTGAGGAAGAGATGGAGCTGATGGGTGAGTGAGTGGGTGAGTCAATGGCACGGGCTGGAGAAGAGATGGAGCTGATGGGTGAGTGAGTGTGTGAGTCAATGGCACGGGCTGAGGAAGAGATGGAGCTGATGGGTGAGTGAGTGGGTGAGTCAATGGCACGGACTGGGGAAGAGATGGAGCTGATGGGTGAGTGAGTGGTTGAGTCAATGGCACGGGCTGAGGAAGAGATGGAGCTGATGTGTGAGTGGGTGGGTGAGTCAATGGCACGGGCTGGGGAAGAGATGGAGCTGATGGGTGAGTGAGTGGGTGAGTCAATGGCACGGGCTGGAGAAGAGATGGAGCTGATGGGTGAGTGAGTGGGTGAGTCAATGGCACGGGCTGAGGAAGAGATGGAGCTGATGGGTGAGTGAGTGGGTGAGTCAATGGCACGGGCTGAGGAAGAGATGGAGCTGATGGGTGAGTGAGTGGGTGAGTCAATGGCACGGGCTGAGGAAGAGATGGAGCTGATGGGTGAGTGAGTGGGTGAGTCAATGGCACGGGCTGAGGAAGAGATGGAGCTGATGGGTGAGTGAGTGGGTGAGTCAATGGCACGGGCTGGAGAAGAGATGGAGCTGATGGGTGAGTGAGTGGGTGAGTCAATGGCATGGGCTGAGGAAGAGATGGAGCTGATGGGTGAGTGAGTGGGTGAGTCAATGGCACGGGCTGAGGAAGAGATGGAGCTGATGGGTGAGTGAGTGGGTGAGTCAATGGCACGGGCTGAGGAAGAGATGGAGCTGATGGGTGAGTGAGTGGGTGAGTCAATGGCACGGGCTGGAGAAGAGATGGAGCTGATGGGTGAGTGAGTGGGTGAGTCAATGGCACGGGCTGAGGAAGAGATGGAGCTGATGGGTGAGTGAGTGGGTGAGTCAATGGCACGGGCTGAGGAAGAGATGGAGCTGATGGGTGAGTGAGTGGGTGAGTCAATGGCACGGGCTGAGGAAGAGATGGAGCTGATGGGTGAGTGAGTGGGTGAGTCAATGGCACGGGCTGAGGAAGAGATGGAGCTGATGGGTGAGTGAGTGGGTGAGTCAATGGCACGGGCTGAGGAAGAGATGGAGCTGATGGGTGAGTGAGTGGGTGAGTCAATGGCACGGGCTGAGGAAGAGATGGAGCTGATGGGTGAGTGAGTGGGTGAGTCAATGGCACGGGCTGAGGAAGAGATGGAGCTGATGGGTGAGTGAGTGGGTGAGTCAATGGCACGAGCTGAGGAAGAGATGGAGCTGATGGGTGAGTGAGTGGGTGAGTCAATGGCACGGGCTGAGGAAGAGATGGAGCTGATGGGTAAGTGAGTGGGTGAGTCAATGGCACGGGCTGGGGAAGAGATGGAGCTGATGGGTGAGTGAGTGGGTGAGTCAATGGCACGGGCTGAGGAAGAGATGGAGCTGATGTGTGAGTGGGTGGGTGAGTCAATGGCACGGGCTGAGGAAGAGATGGAGCTGATGGGTGAGTGAGTGGGTGAGTCAAAGGCACGGGCTGAGGAAGAGATGGAGCTGATGGGTGAGTGACTGGGTGAGTCAATGGCACGGGCTGAGGAAGAGATGGAGCTGATGGGTGAGTGAGTGGGTGAGTCAATGGCACGGGCTGAGGAAGAGATGGAGCTGATGGGTGAGTGAGTGGGTGAGTCAATGGCACGGGCTGGGGAAGAGATGGAGCTGATGGGTGAGTGAGTGGTTGAGTCAATGGCACGGGCTGAGGAAGAGATGGAGCTGATGTGTGAGTGGGTGGGTGAGTCAATGGCACGGGCTGGGGAAGAGATGGAGCTGATGGGTGAGTGAGTGGGTGAGTCAATGGCACGGGCTGGGGAAGAGATGGAGCTGATGGGTGAGTGAGTGGGTGAGTCAATGGCACGGGCTGGGGAAGAGATGGAGCTGATGGGTGAGTGAGTGGGTGAGTCAATGGCACGGGCTGAGGAAGAGATGGAGTGATGTGGTACAGGAGGACGTGGAGCTGAGTGGACTTGCCGATGACCGGTACCAGCGGTGTCAAGATCCGCCTCTGTGGAGGAGGCTCGTGAAGGACGCTGCTACTGGGCAGTGCCAGGCTAGGTGCACCCTGAGGCTACTGGAGGCAGTCCTCCAGCAACAACAGCGGAGGGCGGAGGAGCGACGCTCACAACAACGAGCGGAGCGCCGGGCGGCTAAAGCACAGCGAGTTGGCACAGTAGGGGGCACAGGTGGTGCATCAGCCAGTCATCTCAGTCAGTCGACCCGTGGCACCTGGGTCTGTTCTGAGACCTGCACCTAGCCTGGCACAGCAGTAGCAGTCAGCCCATGGCACCTGCTGGGTCTGTCACGTGACCTCGTGCACCTAGCCTGGCACAGCAGCAGCAGTCAACCCGTGTCACCTGCTGGGTCTGTCACGTGACCTCGTGCACCTAGCCTGGCACAGCAGCAGCAGTCAACCCGTGTCACCTGCTGGGTCTGTCACGTGACCTCGTGCACCTAGCCTGGCACAGCAGCAGCAGTCAACCCACGGCACCTGCTGGGTCTGTCACGTGACCTCCTCCTCCTGCACCTAGCCTGGCACAGCAGCAGCAGTCAGCCCACGGCACCTGCTGCGTCTGTCACGTGACCTCCTCCTGCACCTAGCCTGGCACAGGCGCCGTGGTGACGTCACCGCCACTTAGTGACGAATGGCGCGCGCTTTGGTGTTGGGTGGTGGGAGGGGCTTAGAGGGAGGGGCTGAATGGTGGGAGGGGCTGAGTGGGGGAGGGGCTAAGTGGGGGAGGGGCGCTGTGAGGGGGAGGGGCGCTATTGGGGGGGGATTGAGGGGGGGGGCTGAATGGGAGGCAGGGGCCAAGTGGGGGGGGCCGCGTGAGTGGCTGTGCCGCGTGAGGGGGCGTGGCCCCATGGTGGGCGTGGCTCTCACCACGTGACGCGGAAGACTCGCAGTGGCCGCTTAACCCTTGCAGGCAAGTTCAGTGACCGGTAAACTAACTTCACTCGCTAACTCGCTAATTAACTCACTAACTAACTCACTAACTAACTCACTAATTACCTCACTAACTAACTCACTAACTAACTCGCTAATTAACTCACTAACTAACTCACTAACTAACTCACTAATTACCTCACTAACTAACTCACTAATTACCTCACTAACTAACTCGCTAATTAACTAACTCACTATACTAACTCACTAATTACCTCACTAACTAACTCACTAATTACCTCACTAACTAACTCGCTAATTAACTAACTCACTATACTAACTACCTCACTAACTACCTCACTAACTAACTAATTACCTCACTAACTAACTCACTAATTACCTCACTAACTAACTCACTAATTACCTCACTAACTCATTAACTAACTCACTAATTACCTCACTCACTAATTACCTCACTAACTCACTCACTAATTACCTCACTAACTCGCTAATGAACTAACTCACTAACTAACTAACTCACTAATTAACTAACTCACTCGCTAACTCACTAACTCACTCGCTAATTAACTCGCTAATTAACTCACTAACTCACTCGCTAACTCACTAACTAACTCACTCGCTAATTAACTCATTCATTAAATCACTCGCTAACTCACTAACTCACTCGCTAATTAACTCACTAATTAACTCACTAACTCGCCAATGAACTAACTCATTAACTAATTCACTCACTAGCTAATGAACTCACTAACTCAATAACTCACTAATTCACTCGCTAATTAACTAACTCACTCGCTAACTCAGGCGCTAACTCACTCACTAACTCACTCGCTAATTAACTCGCTAATTAACTCACTAATTAACTCACTAACTCACTCGCTAATTAACTTGCTAATTAACTCACTCGCTAACTCACTCGCTAATTAACTCACTAACTCACACAGTAACTCTCACTAATTCACTCGCTCACTCACTAATTAACTAACTCACTAACTAACTCACTCACTAACTCACTAATTAACTCGTTAACTTACTAACTAACTCACTCACTCTCTCACTAACTAACTCACCAACCCACTAATTAACTCACTCACTAACTCACTAATTGGCTTGCTAATTATCTCACTAACTCACTAACTAACTCACTAACTAACTCACTAATTATCTCACTAATTAACTCACTCACTAACTCACTAATTGGCTTGCTAATTATCTCACTAACTCACTAATTAACTCACTCACTCACTAATTAACTCACTCACAACTCACTTATTAACTCACTAACTAACTCACTAATTAACTCGCTAATTATCTCACTAATTAACTCACTAATTATCTCACTAATTAACTCACTAACTTGCTAGGTAGTAGTGGTGTGTGGTAGTAATGGTATGTGGTATATGGTAGTAGTGGTGTGTGGTAGTAGTGGTGTGTGGTGGTAGTGGTATGTGGTAGTAGTGGTATGTGGTGGTAGTGGTATGTGGTAGTAGTGGTATGTGGTAGTAGTGGTGTGTGGTAGTAGTGGTGTGTGGTAGTAGTGGTATGTGGTAGTAGTGGTGTGTGGTAGTAGTGGTGTGTGGTAGTAGTGGTATGTGGTAGTAGTGGTATGTGGTGGTATGTTGTGTGGTATGTGGTGGAATGTGTGGTATGTTGTGTGGTATGTTGTGTGGTATGTGGTGGTATGTGGTGGTGTGTGGTGGTATGTGATGGTATGTTACGTGGTATGTGGTGATATGTTGTGTGGTATTTTGCGTGGTTTGTGGTGGTATGTGGTGGTATGTAGTGGTATGTGGTGTGTGGTAGTAGTGGTAGTAGATGTGTGTGGTAGTAGTGGTGTGTGGTGGTATGTTGTGTGGTGTGTGGTGGTATGTTGTGTGGTATGTGGTAGTAGTGGTATGTGGTGGTATGTGGTGGTATGTGGTGTGGTATGTGGTGGTATGTGGTAGTAGTGGTGTGTGGTAGTAGTGGTGTGTGGTGGTATGTGGTGGTATGTTGTGTGGTATGTTGTGTGGTATGTTGTATGGTATGTGGTGGTATGTTGCGTGGTATGTTGCGTGGTATATGGTGGTATATGGTGGTATGTTGCGTGGTTTGTGGTGGTATGTGGTGGTATGTGGTGTGTGGTAGTAGTGGTAGTAGTTGTGTGTGGTAGTAGTGGTGTGTGGTGGTATGTTGTGTGGTGTGTGGTGGTATGTCGTGTGGTATGTGGTAGTAGTGGTATGTGGTGGTATGTGGTGGTATGTGGTGTGGTATGTGGTGGTATGTGGTAGTAGTGGTGTGTGGTAGTAGTGGTGTGTGGTGGTATGTGGTGGTATGTTGTGTGGTATGTTGTGTGGTATGTTGTATGGTATGTGGTGGTATGTTGCGTGGTATGTTGCGTGGTATATGGTGGTATATGGTGGTATGTTGCGTGGTTTGTGGTGGTATGTGGTGGTATGTGGTGTGTGGTAGTAGTGGTAGTAGTTGTGTGTGGTAGTAGTGGTGTGTGGTGGTATGTTGTGTGGTGTGTGGTGGTATGTCGTGTGGTATGTGGTAGTAGTGGTATGTGGTGGTATGTGGTGGTATGTGGTGTGGTATGTGGTGGTATGTGGTAGTAGTGGTAGTAGTGGTGTGTGGTAATAGTGGTGTGTGGTTGTAGTGGTGTGTGGTGGTATGTGGTGGTATGTGGTGGTATGTGGTGGTATGTGGTGTGTGGTAGTAGTGGTAGTAGTTGTGTGTGGTAGTAGTGGTGTGTGGTGGTATGTTTTGTGGTGTGTGGTGGTGTGTGGTGGTATATGGTGGTATGTGATGGTATGTTGTGTTGTGGTATGTGTTGGTATGTGACGTGGTATGTGGTAGGCATGGCGTTGCTGCTGGACCACGAGTTCCCTGAGTTGGCGCTAGATCAGGACGTGAACACCCAGCGGTTCCTGGACAGCGTTCAGCACATACCTCCATTCTTCGGTGAGCGAGCAACTCACATACCACTCACATACCACTCACATACTCACTCACATACTCACTCATATACTCACCTAGTCACTCACATACTCACTCACCTACTCACTCACATACTCACCTGGACAGCGTTCAGCACATACCTCCATTCTTCGGTGAGCGAGCAACTCACATACCACTCACATACCACTCACATACCACTCACATACTCACTCACCTACTCACCTAGTCACTCACATACTCACTCACATACTCACTCACCTACACACTCACTTACTCACCTGGACAGCGTTCAGCACATACCTCCATTCTTCGGTGAGCGAGCAACTCACATACCACTCACATACCACTCACATACTCACTCACATACTCACTCACATACCACTCACATACTCACATACTCACCTAGTCACTCACCTACTCACATACCTCCATTCTTCGGTGAGCGAGCAACTCACATACCACTCACATACCACTCACATACTCACTCACATACTCACTCATATACTCACCTAGTCACTCACCTACTCACTCATCTACTCACTCACATACTCACCTGGACAGCGTTCAGCACATACCTCCATTCTTCGGTGAGCGAGCAACTCACATACCACTCACATACCACTCACATACTCACTCACATACTCACATACCACTCACATACTCACTCACATACTCACATACCACTCACATACTCACATACCTCCATTCTTCGGTGAGCGAGCAACTCACATACCACTCACATACCACTCACATACTCACTCATATACTCACCTAGTCACTCACATACTCACTCACCTACTCACTCACATACTCACCTGGACAGCGTTCAGCACATACCTCCATTCTTCAGTGAGCGAGCAACTCACATACCACTCACATACTCACTCACATACCACTCACATACTCACTCACATACTCACTCACCTACTCACTCACATACTCACCTGGACAGCGTTCAGCACATACCTCCATTCTTCGGTGAGCGAGCAACTCACATACCACTCACATACTCACTCACATACTCACTCATATACTCACCTAGTCACTCACATACTCACTCACCTACTCACTCACATACTCACCTGGACAGCGTTCAGCACATACCTCCATTCTTCGGTGAGCGAGCAACTCACATACCACTCACATACCACTCACATACTCACTCACATACTCACTCATCTACTCACTCACATACTCACCTGGACAGCGTTCAGCACATACCTCCATTCTTCGGTGAGCGAGCAACTCACTCACATACTCACTCACATACTCACATACTCACTCACATACTCACGTACCTCCATTCTTCGGTGAGCGAGCAACTCACATACCACTCACATACTCACATACTCACTCACATACTCACTCACATACTCACATACTCACCTAGTCACTCACCTACTCACATACCTCCATTCTTCGGTGAGCGAGCAACTCACATACCACTCACATACTCACTCACATACTCACATACCACTCACATACTCACATACCTCCATTCTTCGGTGAGCGAGCAACTCACATACCACTCACATACCACTCACATACTCACTCACATACTCACTTACATACCACTCACATACTCACATACTCACCTAGTCACTCACCTACTCACATACCTCCATTCTTCAGTGAGCGAGCAACTCACATACCACTCACATACCACTCACATACTCACTCACCTACTCACCTAGTCACTCACATACTCACTCACCTAGTCACTCACATACTCACCTGGACAGCGTTCAGCACATACCTCCATTCTTCGGTGAGTGAGCAACTCACATACCACTCGCATACTCACATACTCACTCACCTACACACTCACCTACTCCCCTGGACAGCGTTCAGCACATACCTCCATTCTTCGGTGAGCGAGCAACTCACATACCACTCACATGCTCACTCACATACCACTCACATACTCACTCACATACTCACACACTCACCTACTCACATACCTCCATTCTTCGGTGAGCGAGCAACTCACATACCACTCACATACTCACATAGCTCCATTCTTCGGTGAGCGAGCAACTCACTCACTCACATACCACTCACTCACTCACATACCTCCATTCTTCGGTGAGCGAGTAACTCACATACCACTCACATACCACTCACATACTCACATACTCACATACCTCCATTCTTCGGTGAGCGAGCAACTCACATACCACTCACATACCACTCACATACTCACTCACATACTCACTCACTCACCTACTCACCTGGACAGCGTTCAGCACATACCTCCATTCTTCGGTGAGCGAGCAACTCACATACCACTCACATACTCACATACTCACTCACATACTCACTCACATACTCACCTGGACAGCGTTCAGGACATACCTCCATTCTTCGGTGAGTGAGCAACTCACATACCACTCACATACCTCACTCACATACTCACATACTCACTCACATACCACTCACATACTCACATACTCACCTAGTCACTCTCATACTCACTCACATACTCACATACCTCCATTCTTCGGTGAGCGAGCAACTCACATACCACTCACATACTCACTCACATACCACTCACATACTCAATCACATACTCACTCACCTACTCACTCACATACTCACCTGGACAGCGTTCAGCACATACCTCCATTCTTCGGTGAGCGAGCAACTCACATACCACTCACATACTCACTCACATACCACTCACATACTCACTCACATACTCACTCACCTACTCACTCACATACTCACCTGGACAGCGTTCAGCACATACCTCCATTCTTCGGTGAGCGAGCAACTCACACACTCACATACTCACTCACATACCACTCACATACTCACTCACATACTCACTCACCTACTTACTCACCTACACACTTACATACTCACTCACATACTCACCTAGTCACTCACCTACTCACCTGGACAGCGTTCAGCACATACCTCCATTCTTCGGTGAGCGAGCAACTCACATACCACTCACATACTCACATACTCACTCACATACTCACTCACATACTCACATACCTCCATTCTTCGGTGAGCGAGCAACTCACTCACTCACATACCTCCATTCTTCGGTGAGCGAGCAACTCACATACCACTCACATACTCACTCACATACCACTCACATACTCACTCACATACTCACTCACCTACTCACTCACCTACTTACTCACCTACACACTCACTCACTCACATACTCACACACTCACCTACTCACCTAGTCACTCACCTACTCACTCACACACTCACATACTCACTCACATACTCACCTAGTCACTCACATACTCACATACTCACTCACATACTCACATACTCACTCACCTACTTACTCACCTACACACTCACCTACTCACCTGGACAGCGTTCAGCACATACCTCCATTCTTCGGTGAGCGAGCACCTCACATACTCACATACCTCCATTCTTCGGTGAGCGAGCGCCTCACTCACTCACATACCACTCACATACTCACTCACATACTCACACACTCACATACTCACTCACCTACACACTCACCTACTCACTCACATACTCACATACTCACTCACCTGGTCACTCACATACTCAATCACATACTCACTCACCTACTCACATACCTCCATTCTTCGGTGAGCGAGCAACTCACTCACTCACATACTCACATACTCACATACTCACTCACATACTCACTCACACACTCACATACTCACCTACACACTCACATACTCACTCACACACTCACATACTCACTCACATACTCACATACTCACCTAGTCACTCACATACTCACATACTCACTCACTCACTTACATACTCACATACCACTCACATACTCACTCACCTAGTCACCTACACACTCACATACTCACCTACTCACTCACCTACACACTCACCTACTCACATACCTCCATTCTTCGGTGAGCGAGCGCCTCACTCACTCACATACCACTCACATACTCACATACTCGCTCACATACTCACCTAGTCACTCACCTACACACTCACATACTCACTCACACACTCACATACCTCCATTCTTCGGTGAGCGAGCAACTCACTCAGATACTCACTCACACACTCACATACTCACATACTCACTCACATACTCACATACTCACCTACTCACTCACATACTAACCTACTCACTCACATACTCACTCACCTACACACTCACCTACTCACCTGGACAGCGTTCAGCACATACCTCCATTCTTCGGTGAGCGAGCAACTCACTCACTCACATACCACTCACATACTCACATACTCACTCACATACTCACTCACCTACTCACTCACATACTCACTCACACACTCACATACTCACATACTCACTCACATACTCACATACCTCCATTCTTCGGTGAGCGAGCACCTCACTCACTCACATACTCACATACTCACTCACATACTCACATACTCACTCACATACTCACATACTCACCTACCTACACACTCACCTACTCACCTGGACAGTGTTCAGCACATACCTCCATTCTTCGGTGAGCGAGCAACTCACTCACTCACATACTCACATACTCACACACATACTCACATACTCACTCACATACTCACTCACCTACTCACATTCCTCCATTCTTCGGTGAGCGAGCAACTCACACACTCACATACTCACATACTCACTCACATACCTAGTCACTCACCTGCTCACTTAGTCACTCACATACTCACCTACTCACTCACATACTCACCTACTCACTCACATACTCACTCACCTACTCACTCACATACTCACCTACTCACTCACATACTCACTCACATACTCAATCACATACTCACCTACTCACTCACATACTCACTCACATACTCACATACTTTTGTCTGTGTTCCTGTGTATGTATCTGTGTGTGTGTACCTGTGTGTGTATCTGTGTGTGTGTGTGTGTACACTGTGTGTGTGTACACTGTGTGTGTGTACACTGTGTGTGTATGTGTGTACCTGTGTGTGTGTGCACTGTGTGTGTGTACCTGTGTGTGTACACTGTGTGTGTGTGTACACTGCGTGTGTGAGTACACTGTGTGTGTGTACACTGTGTGTGTGTGTGTACACTGTGTGTGTGTACACTGTGTGTGTACCTGTGTGTGTGTACCTGTGTGTGTGTACCTGTGTGTGTGTGTGTGTACACTGTCTGTGTACCTGTGTGTGTAGACTGTGTGTGTGTACACTGTGTGTGTGTACCTGTGTGTGTACAATGTGTGTGTGTGTGTACACTGTGTGTGTGTACACTGTATGTGTGTGTGTACAATGTGTGTGTGTATACAGTGTGTGTGTGTGTGTACACTGTGT